ATGCCCTCTAGCTCCATCCCCTCATGCATGTCGTCTATCCTCACCCTGCAACCTCCTTCATGATTTGCCCAGCCTTCGCCTCCCTCCTCCTTCCCCTCTCACCTTAGCGTCCTGCCTTTGCCTGACCTTCCTCTCCTTCCCTCGTCCCCTGTGCGGGCACAAAGAGATGCGACGGCCGGTCTCGTCCGCAACGACGACGGGGAGGAGGAGGAGCAGAGGGATGTGAAGGGTGACGAGAGACGGAGAAGGAGCGGGCATGGGAGGAAGGAGAAGGCGAGGGAGAGGCGAAGGAGGAGCAGGAGGAGCAAGGGAGAGCATGCAAGGCCGCGAGCCATGACGGGAAGAACTTTATGAGTCTCCCGTCCGAGCTCACCTCGGGCAGGTCCGGCGGGCCCGCCGGCTCAGCCTCGCCGGGCCGGGGCCCCCGGTCGAGTCGGCTCATCCGGCGGTCCGACCGTCCGACTCCCGGCGGAGCCTCCCGGCCCGTCCGCTATGTGACGGGTGACTGAACAGGCTCACTGCCACCGGCCGGGCAGTCACAGTGACGGTGCCGGGCGGCGAACGGTGACCCGTGTGCGTGTGGGAGTGTACTATGATCGGATGTGTCGGCGCGGCTTGTGTTGATGGCGCTGAAGGAGCTGATCGGATGCTTGACTGAGGACTATCGCCGGGCCCTACTAAGTAGCGCGGCTCGGAAGCCCGCCGCTTCACTGATCAGTGACACAGGTGGAGGGTGACTCGAGCCGCCCGAAACTTGAGACCGCTACGGTACGAAACTTTCGGACTCCGCATGCCGGCGATCCCTCGGATGATCCACTGGGCCATGGTCCGTCCGATCGGACTCAGTGTCACTTCAAGGCTTCACTCACTGTAGACTTGGCGGAGTCCGATCGGGCGAGCCTCCCGGAGCCTCACGAACTGTCGGAGTGGCACGGCTTGAAAGCCCGCCGCCGGGGCCCGGTGGCTGCCGGCGAGATGAGTGACTGAGTCGGAAGGCTCAAGTGAGAGATGCAAGTTACTTGAAGTTTATTGGCGTCACTCGCAGACATCAGTCATGGTTCTCCTGGGTTCTTCGTACGTTGACCAGCCGTGCTGGTGAGAAGCGGCAGAAGCAGAACCACTACAACTACGAAAGACTGAGAATCGAGACTGAGAGAGATGCGCAGGGGAAAGAGACTGACTGGGACTTCTCTTCTCTCACCTCCTCTTCTCTTCTCTCACCTCCTCTTCTCTCCTCTCACCTCCTCTTCTCTCCTCTCACCTCCTCTTCTCTTCTCTCACCTCCTCTTCTCTTCTCTCACCTCCTCTTCTCTTCTCTCACCTCCTCTTGTCTCCTCTCACCTCCTCTTCTCTTCTCTCACCTCCTCTTGTCTCCTCTCACCTCTCCTACTCTCCTAATACTTTCACCTCTTCTCTTCGCTCAACTATCCTCACAAGCACGATCGAGGCTATCATCTTATCACGCGACCCTGCTTGAGTCACGCGGCCGTCACTTGCAGACATGGCAGTCCTCCAACACAAGGCAAGACTCAGAACAAGAATCCAAGATCAAGGATGTCACAAGTGATCTCCATGACCATCTACATAATGATCGTCTTCAGTGTCGTCAGGGTCAGGGTCAGGGTCATCATCGTCGTTAACCAAACGATGATATCAAAAACATACAAAACAAACATCCAACATACCATATCCAACAGTTTTGCAAGTTAAACTGTACTGTTTATCCTGCAACCATTTGAAAACCTATCCCCATCCCATCTCCGCTCTCATGTAATGTCTGCCAATCTAGTTGATCACCTTATGCGCAACTGTCTCTTCACCGTCCCCTCACTCTACTCCTCATGCCATCGCGTCTTGATCATCAAAACTCGTCCCAATACCTCGCCCACTCCCGCTTTCTGAATTAAAAATTGAAGCATTGACACAGATTGCAATGACGAGTCAGCAACAACAAAGCTTGTCGTCATCGTGTTAGTAAAGGTCATCATCATCGTGATCATCATCATCATCGTCGTCATCATCATCATCGTCATCATCATCGTCATCGTCATCATCGTGTTAGTAAAGGTCATCGTCATCATCATCGTCATCGTCGTCATCGTCATCATCGTCACGTCTCAAGTTGGTCAGCATTGCTGCTGATCTCGCTCATGCATTTTTGGCACCCTCCTCCCAGCCCTCCTCCCCGCTCATCTTCAGGCCCTCTTCCCCACACTGACACTCTTTGTTGCCACCTTCCACCCCCCAACTACTCTGTCAATCATGCTTATATGGACCCCTACCCTTGAATGGCCCTACTTGTACCCGTCCATATATCAGCAACCCTCACCACCCCTACCCCCTGCTGTTGATGTGCTACAGTCGACTCCCTTCCATGGAAGCCCATGCAGTTGCTAGGACCAATACCCCATAGCAATTGATACGATACTCGGACCGAGCTAGGACACATGCTGTAAAATGTCAGCCTTGAAGACCTTTTTCGAGCCTACCCCCACATTTGACTGCAAGTACCCCCACCCCCGAGCTCTCGCTGATCGTTGCAGGGCTGGGCTGTCTGGAGGCTTCTCGATGTCTCTAGAAATATCTCGACCAAGGGACGAGGCGGACTCGCACTACTGTAACTCGATCTTATCGGCTTACACCGCCCCACAGGTACCCCTACCCCCTGGTCTACTCCCTGGACTTGAAGGGAGTTGCTCAACCCCCCCATTGTTTCTCTTGCAGGCCTTCAGCCTCTTTGCCCCAGTCCGTGGCCTCCGACCATTCAGCCGCCACATGCTGACCAACGAGCTCCACCCCACCCCCTACCCCTGCAAGCAAGCCCCGTCACAGCTACGATCCACATTCTCTGTACAGCATGGGTCTATCTTAGGGGAGATACCAGGGGTACGGACATGGGGGTGGGGGGTACAAGTGTGTAGACTGGTACGGGTGTAGTTGAGGGCTGAGATCTCTAGTTTGCAGGGGTACTGAACGAGATTTTTCAGAAAAAGGTAGGGAGGGGTTTTAGGTAAAATCCTTGTAAGCATTAAGGTCACATGTCACATGTCAGCACATTCCATTGCAAGTTGTCGATATCGCAGCTCCGAAAACTAAAATAGTTTGAACATATGCGTAATAATATTAAAACAAAACATTGAGATTTTTCTAATCATAAGACCAAAACGAAAACGAGAAGCAAACTGACAGTAAACACGCAACACAGTAAGGCGCAAATAGAATCGAAAAAGCAATGTTTCAGAGCCCCTGAGAGTCCAGATACCAAAAGTTGAGATGTCAGCGGATTGTCTCCCCTATTATTGTCCCCAACTTAATACTTTTACGCTATGTAAAACAGATATATACATTTATACAATTTTAATTTGTACCAAGCAGAGTGCCACGGACTCTGATTTCGGTTCTCATATAAAATAGTTTTTAAAGGGGGGCGTCTCCATATTATTCCCTCGGGGTGGCGCGGAAGAAGAAGCCGACGGCAAACATCGCTGCCAGAGACTTGTTCTTCCTGCTGCTCCTTGTTGATCCCTCTCGGTCAATCGCATCCTCGTCTTGAAAGCCCTTCATCTTCCATCAACCTTGCGAGCATGTACTCAAGTGCAAACTCCATGAGCTATGACTTCTCGTCGGGGTTTCATCAAGCCTCCTCCATCAAGACTCTCTTTCCGGAGCATCAGTACGAGCCAGACTATCACATGAAAGCGCACTCAAAGAGCAATGCTGCTCCCGAGCGTGAGCTGCCAGCGCCCCTCACGTGGCAGGCGATGAAGCAAGTGATGCTGGAGACCCACACGGGCACCAAGAAGGCGATTGAGTCATGCTTGGACTGCTACAAGGTGACCTTCTTCCACTCTCTTGTCCTCTCCCTCTTCTCCTGTTTCTTCTCCTCCTTGATGCTGACTTGATGACAGAGCAACCGCATGTCCGCCAGCGATGTGCTTGCCTTCCTTCGCTCCATGATGTCTCAGTCAGCTACGCTTCAGACTCTCTTCAGCGAGCAGCGAGACTCTCCCAAGGGAGAGCTTGCCTCTGCCGACGACATGGCAGAGCTCCGCGCCCTTGCTGGAATTGCTCCTGCTGCTTCCTATAACAGCTACGTCAACAAGTTTCCTGTTCGTGATCACACCAGCGCTCAAGCTCCTGCTCCCCTACCAGCCATCAGCTTCGGAGATGTCCGCAGCAAGCCGGCGCCTCCTGCCCGCGTGAGGAAGCCCAAGGTTGTTGAGCCATCGGATGCTGAGAGGGAGCTTATGCGATGGTGGAGCGAGAAGCGCGTGCCCGAGGTCAAGCGTAGGCAGTACGAGACCGCAGGATGCGTTGCTGGTCATCCCGAGGGCATGAAGCAGTCGGCGTACATGAAGTTTGTCTTTCAACAGCTGCGTCACCTGCTCCCCGCCGAGGGGAAGGCGAAGTTGCTGCATCTGATGAGATCCTACATGAGCGACAAAGACGCCAAGAGCCTGGGCGACAAGGTCAAGGCCCTTGTCGACGAGTTCGACGTCAAGTGCTCCCTCTCCTTCGCTCCCGAATGCACCATCAGAGCTCCCAAGAAGTCGCACGTTCCCGCTGTTGAGCTCGAGGATGACATGGAGCCCGTCGCTCTCCCCGTCCCTCCCAAGAGGCCCCTGCAGGCTCAGTGTGATAAGACCAACATGCCGGCGAAGCGCAAGAGGACCGAGACTCTGCATGGTGCGGACCCGCGTGAGTTTCTTGAGGACGACGATGAAAGCGCCATGTGCCCGGTTTGCCGCGGGAGGACGATCGATGGGTGAAGTGCGACGGCTGCGGCTCTTGGTATCATCAGATCTGCGTGCTCTTCAACGAGGCTGCTCACGGCAAGAGCGTCCGCTTCTTCTGCCGCACCCCCGGGTGCCGCAAGAAGGGCTCCCGCCAGCTCAACCGCAGGCAGCGCAAGCCCTGCTACCCGACCTCTCCCAGCATCGAGTCCTGCCCCCTCAGCGACTTTCTCTCCTCGTCTGTGCAGGCAGTGGCTCGCCAGGACAGGAGCGTCGTGGTGAAGGTTGTCGCGAACAGTGAGACGTCGAGGGAGGCGAAGGTGCGGGGCAAGAAGGTGCAGGAGAAAGTGAGGAGCAAGACTATCTGCGCGTTCCAGCACACGCTCATTGGGTCGGACCTGCTCTTCTTCACCATGTTCGTCGAAGAGATCCGCTGCTCTGATGGCTCGGGGCGCGTGGAAGTGACGCACGTGGACAGCAACGGGCTGTATGAGCAGATGGAGGTTGGGGAGGCGACGAGGGTAGAGAGCGCAGTGATGGAGGCTTACCTGCGCTATGCTCGCACCCTGGGATTCAGCTCAGCTCGCCTGCACCTTCATGCGGGGTCAGACCCTTCGCAGTCTCTCTTCTTCGCTCGCGGGGCTGGCGGCTGGTTCTCCATCGACAAGGCAGTCGCAGCATGCTCGCACATGCTATCCTGCGCGCAGCAAAAGGGAGTGATCCACTCATTCTTGCAGGAGAGCGCCTCCTCCTCCCAAGTGACCCTCCGCGTACTTCTGGGTCTTTCAAGTGGCCGCATGGAGGAGGAGAAGGACGGGGAGAAGACTGGGCTGGTGGCGATGAACAGAAACGAGTGGTACAAGCTGCAGGAGGTGAACAACTATCGGTTCGAGGAGCTTCAGTTCGCCAAGTTCTCCTCGATGATGCTCGTCTATCACATCATCAAGGGTGTCAAGCGCGACCTTGGCTTCTCCTCTCTCCGTCCTCACCCGCAGATGCAGCAGGCGGTCAGCGAGGAGACTCTCAACCTAATGCCTTCCGTCGCTTTCTCCCCTTGCGGGGATTGCACGCACATGCCCGTGAAGCAGGAGGCCGAGTACATCCCTGCTCCTGCATTCGAGGGATGGCAGGAGGAGGCGGAGATGGGAAGCGGAGAGATGTTTGGGTCGGAGCTGCTGAGAGAGGAAGAAAGCTTCTTTCAAGACATGCCTGTTTATGGCGAACAGAATGATCATGTGTGGGACAGTTTCTTGTTCTAACTTTGTAAACTAATACAAACTTGTGATGAACTTTGACGTTATTTGGCTTCTCGTGCCACTCGAGCTCCTCCTCGTTCCCCAACCAACTCGCGCATTCTCTTGTACCAGTCAGCCACCTGCGAATCATTATGCAACCCAACACACCAGCTCTTGTATCCATTCCAACCACACTTCCGTCTCCTCGCTGCTGTTTCTGTCTCATTCCCAGTCTCTTCCCCTCCCTCACTTTCTCTTCCCCTTCCCCTTTCCCTTCCCCATCCTTACCGGAGAGTCTTCGATCACTTTCTGTGTTGCACTGCCGTCCACGGCCCTCAAAACGCCGAAGACACTGAAGAAGAACAAGTGAGATAGGAGAAGAAGTGAGATAGAAGAAGAAGAAGAAGAAGAAGAAGAAGTTGTGAGATACAAGATAACAAGTGAGAAAAAGAGAAATGAGCAGTGAGAAGGGGGAGGAAGCAGGAGGAGAAGGGGGAGGAAGCAGGAGGAGAAGGGGGAGGAAGCAGGAGGAGAAGGGGGAGGGTTCACCAGAGGTCGGCGAGGTTGGGGGAGGAGCCACCAAGGAAGAGTTTGTTATCGAGGGCGTCGGCCCACTTAGAGAGGGAGGAGGCGAGAGCGGCTCGTTCGTCCTCTATCTTGTACTTCTTCTTGAGTTTCCCTTGCGCCAGCCACATGGCCGTCGCCCCCGCCACGTGGTTGGAGTACTTGTCGAGGAGGGAGAAGGTGGGAACCTCCTGCACGTAGCTGAAGGCCTCGTACGACTCGCTGAAGCTCCGCGTGAGGTTGGGGAACAGAAGAACCGCCAGCTCCTTGTCTGCCCAGTCCATCCATCCCCTCACCTGCTCCCCGTCACTCTCCTTCCTCCCTTCACCACCCTCCCCTCCCCTCCCCTCCCCTCCCCTCCCCTCCCCTCAGGAGACACCTCGGGGTCTTTGGCAGATAAGCAGAGTGACTTTGACTTCTCGTCATTTTCCTGCGATTAAGTCTTAGATGACT